CGTCAGCAGTCAAAGTCTCTGGAAACTCAAACGGACCGATTATTTTACCATTTACAATTCCTGTCCAATGGTTTATCTTGAAGCGATATTGAGATTTATCTTCTCTCATCAAATGTGGGTTTGCTACTTGCCACTCGTGTAAGTTATGCAGGTTCATGTACCCATCTTTCTTAAATGTGGTCTCATCTGACTATAAAATTTTTTCAAAGAACCGTGGATCTTCCCTGTGTCTTTCTAACATTGTGCGACAAAAAGCAACTCGGGGCTCATAATCCCGGGGCAGAAGAGCTTGAACATGCTGTACGTGGTATGGATGAAGCACATCACTTACTTGCGAGCGTGTATTGCGGCTGAAGGAAAACAGTTTGAGGATTTGCTGTAAAGGTAAATCATCATCAGCAGCATTTTGACGCCCACTGTTGTGCAAACAGTTATCCTTAAGGGTCCTTGTGCGTTTTCATGATCGCTGTTTAGTTAGGAAATTTTGAAAAATTTTCATCAGTTTTTCTTCAAATAAAAATTGTGCGTAAGTTAACGAGTAATCTTCTAAGTGTTATACCATTTTGGAATCCTTATTAAATGCGCCAACTTTTAAGGTTACTTGCCAAACTCTCGTAGTACATTTTTTTCCAGTACGGCCAGTTAAAGTTTGGCAAAGTTTTACTTTGGAATACTTGGTTGGGAAATAAGTGGCAATTTTTCCTGAACGAGAAAAGTTGGCATTAAGGTTGAGACACCAGTTTGAAGATGCATTATTCATCATTACATTGTAAAAATAAAATCCAAAAAAAGTTAATATTTGTAGTAAAAGGAGTTGACAGACTGCCGTAGGGTAAGAAATTTCTATATTTTTTTCAAAGACCTATAATTTTCAAAACACATACATAAAATTTTTTAAATATTTTTGTGATAGCTGTTATGACTTTGCCTATCACCCAGTTTCGGCTTGACGTCGACTTCTGGGACACCCTGTATATTGTATATAGATACATATATATATATACGGTGAAAATTCTCCTTGCGGACAGCTCCTATAAGCGGACATCTCTTTTAACCGGACAAAGTTCCTGGAACCGAATTTCAGCCATCAATTTTCAATGTTAAATGCGTTCCGATAAACGGACGCTCTTATAAACGGACGCGGACACTAGATTTTCCTGTATGTGATCAAAAAATCTCCCATAAGCGGACGCGAAACTCTAATACCCGGACGATTTTTTAGTTCCGCTTATTGCAATGCACATATCTACATACATAAAATTCGGTAATTCCCCGATTTATATTAGGTGATTCCCCATTTACGCATTTCGTTGGGTAGCCTGTATGTAATCTTGTGGCTTGTCTTCAGTTCAGGCAAATTCGTAGTTGATTGAGTTACGTATTTTATTATTGTATCTGTAAAATGGCACCAAAAAAAAGGATGCTCTCGTTAAAGGAAAAGATGGAAGTTGTTAACGTATTAGACAGAGAAAGTATTTCAGTTCGTCATTTGGCAAAGAGGTTTAATATTGGGAAAACGCAAGCAGCTGAAATTGCCAAAAATAAGGAAGATATCAGGAGTAAATGGCAATCAGGAACTGATATAAATCAAAAGAAGGATTTTTAAAAAAAGGAAGGTTTTGCTATAGACAAAACATGTTTTGAGTGGTTTCTGAAAGCTAGAAGTCAGAACATTCCAATCTCAGGGCCGTTGGTGAAAATGAAAGCTAAAGAAATCGCCACTACTTTGAGCTATAATAATTTCAGTGCGTCCGACGGGTGGCTGCAAAAGTGGCGCAAGAGACATAGTGTGAGTTTCAAATGCATATCTGGCGAAGCTGCTGCAGTAGATCAAGTTGATGTGTCACAATTTTTGGAGAAACTTCCGTCCATGTTGCTTGGCTACAAACCAGAAGATGTGTACAACGCAGATGAGAGTGGACTTTTTTTTCGCGCATTACCCGACAAAACTCTGTCCTTTAAAGGAGAAACATATGTGGGTGGAAAGTTGTCTAAAGATAGACTAACCATTTTATTCTGTGCAAATATGGCCGGTGAAAAATGCGATTTGATTGTGATCGGGACAGCGGCTCGTCCCCGTGCTTTAAAAAACGTTGCTATTAAGGATCTACCAGCGACTTGGAAATCCAACAAAAAGGCATGGATGACCCGAGAAATCATGTCTGAGTGGTTAGTCGAATTCGACCGGAAAATGAGAATCCAAAAAAGGCAAGTTCTTTTATTTTTAGACAATGCATGCTCTCATCCTCGTGATATGAAAATGAAAAATGTGAAAATTATATTTTTACCGCCAAACACAACTTCTGTTTGTCAGCCCATGGATCAAGGTGTCATACAGAACTTTAAATTTTATTATCGGCACTTGATTTTAAAACATATTTTAACAAAAATTGACGATGGTCAAAGCTTATCTGAGCTTACAAAGTCTATCAATGTGTTAGAAGCTTTGTATTTTATAAAAACAGCATGGAATAAAGTAAATTCCTCTACAATTAAAAACTGTTTTGGCAAAGCTGGATTCAGAAAAAGTGAATGTAGCTCAGAATTTGCTGAGCAAAATTATTGCGATGCTGAAGACGATCTGCCCTTAGCGACACTTGCTCAGTTAGTGCGACATGCCAAACATTTAGGAGTAGCAGATCCCCAGAAAGTAGATGATTTCCTGGCCATAGACAATAACATAACAACAGAAGAAAATGCCATTGGCAACTTTTCGAATTTGGATGTAGAAAGCCCAGGCCAACTTGAATATGGTAGTCCAAACGACTCAGAAGAAGAAGTGGAACTGGTGGACTCACTAAGCGGTTCAAAAACGATAAATTCATATGGGGAAGCTCTAAATCATATATCTATATTGAAAAAATTTGCTAAAGATGATTTCACTGCATTTCAACATTTGAAAAATTTAGAAAGTTATTACGAAAATTGTCTCCTTCAGCAAAAGATGGTGAAATTTCGTCAGACAAACATTTTAAACTTTTTTCAACAAGCTAAAGAATAATGTTTTTTTTTAAATTCTCGTACCATGTATTGAAGCATTTATGTTTTTGTATGCGTATATGTACATATATTATATAGATATATAGCATAAATACAAACTTTAAAAATGTGGCGAGTTTCTGTTTCATTTTTCTCATGATTATAATACCTCATTTCCTCATGATTATATACCCCGTTATTTATACTCTATACTTACATACTCTCTTTTAAACGGACACCTCCCATAAGCGGACAAAAGTTACGGAACCGTGAGTGTCCGCTTATGGGAGCTTTCACTGTATATGTATGTGTATATTTGTGTATAAATGTAAGATAATACCCAGGCACAAGAATTTATTCTTCTGTGGGTAAATTCAGTTTATTTACGTACACCTCTGTTAGTTTTAGTTATATTTGTATGTTACGTGAAACTTATTGTAACCCGATTAAGCTCTATGCACGGAGAACAGTTTACCGGAAAGCCTTTTTCCACCGCGGTTAATCTTAGCCAGTTTAAAACTTCTACCACCAAAGTCTTCTTTGTGCTTATTTATAATAGTAATGGTACTGCTGCATTTAGGATTTGCCTTCACATCTATATCCAAAGGATATGAGCTACCTTTTTTCTATCCCGTTAGAAGAGCTTAACCAAGAAATCGCCTTATTTCAGTAGGCCTTGCGGAAATTCCAATTTCATTCGTTTTATTATTATTATTATTATTCATCTCAGCAACTTTATTAATGTTATTCAGCATTTTGGCTTTAGCAATCATTTATTAGATTTCATTTCTTCTTACTTGCATGATAGAAGTCAGTACGTTTCTTATCATGGTTTCAAATCTTCACCTTACTCGGCCTCATCCGGTGTACCGCAGGGATCAAATATAGGTCCTCTTCTCTTTCTTTATTTTATCAATGATCTCCCTAACTGCTTAACCTGTCCTTCTCTGTTGTTTGCCGATGATTTAAAAATATATGCTCAGATTAACAGCATTGATGACTGTCTAATCTTGCAAGCTGACCTGAATCATATATTTGAATGGTATTCAACTAATAAATTATTTTTGAATGTTAGCAAATGCAAAACCTGTTCTTTTACCAGGAAAACGAATCCAATAGTTTTTGATTACACACTAGAAGGTGTCAGTTTGATGCGTTGTTCAGAAGTAAGAGATCTAGGTGTGTTGTTTGATGTTTAATTAGAATTTACAGGTCATATTAGTACAATAGTATCATCCGCTATAAAAAGTCTCGGTTTTTTGATAAGAAACTGTAAATCGTTTGGTTGTGAAACGACACTGAAGGCTTTATACTGCACCTTGGTGCGTTCTAAGCTGGAATATGCATCTACTGTATGGCACCCATTTTACCAAATCTATATTAATGAAATTGAAAGTGTACAGAGGAGATTTCTTAAATACTTGACTTTCAAAATAGATGGTGTTTATTCCAATCGTGGGACTCCCCAATCAGCAATGTTGCTCAGATTTGAAATGCATCCTCTTGAGCTGAGAAGAGTTTGTAATAGTTTAACATTCCTTTACAAACTCGTACACAGTGATGTTGATTCTTCAGCTTCATTAGCTAAAATTGATTTTCATGTACCGTCCCGCATTTCCCGATGATTTCTCGCTTTTTACTCAAAAACACCAAATTCTAATGTTATGATTAAGTCACCTGTGTACTTTATGCGCTCCAGCTTTAACTTTAACTTTAGCTGATAATTGTGACATTCATCATGATGAAATCAAAGATATATTAGCTGTATTCAGCGACTACTATTATTCAATTTATAACATTTAAGACATGTAGGTGAGTAGGCGTAGCTATTCATTTTTTTTTTCATAAAATGGGTGAGCTATGATTGTAGTTGAAAATATTGTAACATTAAATTGTATTCAATTACATTGTCCTTTAAATGGATGTATCTGTTGGGAAATAAATATATTATTATTATTATTATTATTATTCTTTTATTCCAGGTCCGTTCGCGTAGCCTAACGCACCTCGATAACCTGGAGATGCGCCAAGGCGTAGTGCCTACAGCAGATCAAGCTTTGAAGGACTCCCGTTCGGAGCCCGATTGCACCAGATCCCTTCCCGCTCCTCCGACAGCCTCGACCGCAGGGGCGCCAGGATCGGCAGCTAGGGGCACCACCACCAGTTCTAGGGGCACGTCGAAAAGGCACGTCTTGTCCAGGCCACAGGTAAATCATTCATAGCTTGATTTTACATTGGTACATTCAAACTATACATACTCAAGATGTAGTAGAATCGCCCTGTATATTTGGAAGATAGCTCATGGCGCACATCCATTGGTGATGGATCTTGAGGATTATTGTGTTACCAAAATGTGTTCTTGCAAGGCGAGTGCGGAGATGGATACTCAAATTCCTAAATTATTTCGTTTGCCTGTTTTAAAGGCGATTTATTTCTCATCGTGCTTGGAAGTGTTAAAAGACTTCAGTTTTGAATTAAAACTCGCTTTGTTAGCTTCTTTATCTGCCTGGCAGTCAAACTATTTGAAATGCTAGTATACACTTAAACAGATTTTTCCATCATAACACTTTTCAGGAATCGTTTCTTTTAGTTTCCAAGTCGGCACTATGGTGATTTTGTAGTCTTGGTAATAGACTCATCCTTCATAGATTAATACATGCATTTTTCGCGATAACTAATTTATATAAATGACACGCCACAGTGACACGAGAGGTAGATTAATTTCAGATCAATCAGATAAAATCAACATGACCTTAGTCAAAGTTTTCTAGCTTTCGAGATATTGCCACTTTTAAGTTTTTTTTAATCTACTGTTTGCTCCTTTTTGTCTGTTATGGCTATAAAGGACTAATGATTTTTTAATGGGCTACAATAAACACGTTAAACGCCACGGCGGTCCCATGGAACCGCTTGACAACGGGCCTATCACGCCACGGCGGTCGGTACGGACCGCTTTGTATTTTATTTAGTTTCACGGTGACTCCAGCCAAAGATCCGTATTTAAATTTATTTTAGCATTAGATATGGATCGCTGTGGCTAGTATGGATTATACCCTAATGCCAATTTTTTGGTGTAGTTTTGTTTGAGCGTTAATTTTTTTATTGATTCACATCATTTATTTCCTACTAAATCTACACAACAACATTGACAAAAACGAACAAGATTCCAGTGAAAATGCATATATATATATATATACAGGGTGTCCGCAAATTTGGGGTTTTCCTTTTCAGAAACAACTATCCTTGACATAACAAAGGTAATGTGTAGTGAAACGAGGGCGACTAAGTAAAAAAAAATAAAGGAAAAAGTACTCACTCTCCAGTTGACGAGAAGGGCTAAGTACGTCTCTGCCCGAAATCATACCGCTCCAACAGAAAATGAAATCAGCTGATGCGCTACCGAGCAGACGCCGGCGGTGGTGCAGACCACGAACATAGGTAACAAATAAGACGGCGTTGCCGCGTTTTCAGTTTTTAGGTAAACGTACTTTATAGGTATTGTTCGAAGTTATCGCCGTTTGATTCAAAAACACAGGTGCGTGCACGACGTAGCCAAGCATCGGTGCAGGCTTTGAGAATGGAGTCCCTCCCCCGAATGAAAGCACCAGCTTGTTCAATTCTGAGACGAAGTTCGTCAACCGTATGCACTTCAGTTTTGTACACTAAGCGTTTCATTTCTCCCCAAAGAAAAAAATCACATGGTGTTAAGTCTGGAGATCGCGGAGGCCACGCTACGGGTCCATTACGTCCGATCCACCTATTCGGAAATAATTCATTCAAAAACTCACGCACTTCGCCTCTAAAATGGGGCGGTGCACCATCGTGCAGAAACCACATTGATTATCTTACACTTAATGGCACATCTTCTAAGAAGGAACGCAAAATGTTGCGTAAAAAGTCTAGGTATTGTATCCCGTCCAATCGATTTGGGAGAATAAATGGTCTAATGAGCATACCGATCACCATGCCAGACCAAACATTCACCGAAAATGTTTGTTGAAAATGTGCCCGACGGACAGCGTGCGGATTTTCTACCAACCAAACATGAGTGTTGCGAAAGTTATTCACCCCATTACGCGTGAACGTAGATTCGTCTGTCACCAATATGCACTTCAAAAAGTCCGGATTATTGTCATGTTGATGCAACAACCACTCACAAAACCGCACTCTTGCTGGAACATCGTCAGGTTGAAGGGCTTGTACACGTTGGACGTGAAACGGATACAGCCCCTCTTCACGCAGCGTTTGCCACACTTTCGTTTTTGATACTTGCACTTCTCTAACCACGTCTCTAGTGCTTGTTATTTTTTGAAACGCAATCGATTTCACTTGTTCGTTTGACTCTACACGCGTGACCGTAACCGTCGGTTGAAGGTTGCATACTGACCTGACACACTGACCCCGACCCAGTTCAGTCGTCGGGTTGAGCTAGTGTCCTGGTACCACTCGGGGATATCGCGAGTCGCGGCTACAGGACGGTATTCAGATATTTTTGATGTTGCAGAGCCCTTTACCTCGGTTCCCTTAAGACATTGGTGTATATGGTACTAAGAAAAATTGCTTATGTTTTCAAGATCTACACGTCGTGTAATGGAAAACCCCAACTTTGCGGACACCCTGTATACAGGGTGGCGCATCGAAAACGAAACAGACGCATTTACTGGCAGCTCAGTTTTTTTTTGGAACAACGCTAAGGCCCGTCAATTTTATTTTCGAGGGGGATACAAGTTTGTCAAAAAATCACGTTAGCACGTGCAGCCCCCCGGGCGAGGGTGGCACCAACCCTAAAATCTTAAATGGAAAGGGGGGGTCGAGTGATACCTTATTTTAAAGGTATTTCAATTCCCTTTATAATGATGTAAAATACATGAGCTTCAGTTCAGTAGTTTTGAAGATTTATTGATTTAAAGCTTAAAGTAGACTTTTAATAGGTACATCAGATTAGTTTGTACTACTTTCAGACGAAATTTGACTAAAAGAATTTACTTAATAAGTAAATGCTTTTCTTCACTAGGCCCATGGTTTGTTTATCATTTTGTCGTTGAAAATAACTATTAGAGCGTTTTTTTTGTGGCAAAAAAGTTATTTCTTGAAGAAAGATAAGGAAATACCTCGTACTTATTTTAAATAGGAATTTAGTACATAGTTTGCGATTGACTTGACCAAACTTTGTTGCTAAAATAACTTTTAACAGTTTGTTACATAGTTTTCATCCGTATAAAATTCGCCTGGTACAAGAAATTAACGAAGACGATTTTGATCGGCGACTACAATTTTGTGAAGATATGAGTGAACGAATTATAAACGATGAACATTTTCTATTCAACAATTGCTTTTCCGACGAATGTTCCTTTTTCTTAAATGGCGTAGTAAATCGTCATAACTGCCGATATTGGTCCGATTCTAATGGGGACCGCTAAACATTTTTTTGAGAAAAGAGCTAAAGAGATCATAAATAGATGAATCAAACGTATTTCTGCAGACTGTAAGTCATAAGCAGAACAAATGATATAAAATTGGACTTTGGCCAGGTGTACATTTTTCTAACATTTTCCTTGGCGTTTAACGTGTTTAGTTGATTAAGACCTAGTAGTCGTTTCATTGAAGAACAGCCACGGTATGCTAAAAAATTAAATTATTGCATTTGGTGTCAATGCGGAAACCTTTACTCAAGTTTGAATAATTATTGTGAAAAAAATGTTCCCGATTTAATGAGCAGATGATCTTAAAAACTACCTATTTGATGCTCTTTCAAAAATAGTATAACAGGTTCTTTTTACTAAAAACTGGATAATGCCATCTTTTGTCATTCAAGTCGCAAATACTACAAATAAAAAATAATAAGTGCAGTCTTTTTTGTCAAAATTATAACTTTGTTGTTGCTGCAATACGTTTTTATTTTAGCAAACGTCTAAAACAGCTATCCATTATTTTATTCATTGTTGTAAATAATGAACAGAACATTAGGTTCTATTTTTTTATTTCCATTGATTTTTACAATATTTAAATGAAATAAAGAGAATTAGGAATCATTATGGACATCTTAAATTTACTAAAATTAAATTAACATCTAATATAAATATTGCCTGAAATAAATGATTATAGATATTATTATTTTCACGACATATTTTCAAAATGTCGACCTGGAGGCTATCACTGCTTGGGGACGCTACAATCTTGTCCAGTTCAATGCTTCCAAAAACTGTACTGTACTTTGACGAACAAAAAGCATCCTAGCGCTAATTCCAGTTTCGATGAACGGCCGACTGCCAAAGAGCCATTCATTTCGGCTGGTCGGAGTCCAGATCACCGAGGACCTGATCTGGCACGAAGACATCTCGTCAATAGCTGCAGCTGCTGGAAAAAAGTTAGGATATTTGTTTAGGACTAAGAAGTACTTTTCTCCGCATGACCTTCTCACTCTATACAAGGCCCAGATAAGGCCTAGCCTCGAGTATTGCTCCTCAAAAAAAAAGCTGAAGTCATCTTTGGAGCAGTGTTGCTATCTGAAAGTGACCATTAATAACAAGTACGCAGCATGCATTTCACAGAAAACGCAAGTTGACTTGATGAAATGAAATCTGGCAGTTTTGCAATAAGTGTGTGATACCTACATTCCTCTATGGTATGCCTATGCCGATTTTGTGTGACGTAGTCGGTGTTTAAGTGTATATTTGTTCATGACACTGATATTGCCCCAGATCCTATTTGAATTTCCCTTTCCTTAAAAGGGCTGACCGGTTTCACCCCATCCTTCAGAGGGTCTCGACTGGAAAAATCCTCGCATTTGCCCTTCAGGATAGGTGGCGAATTTCATTATGTTCGAGTCAGACGCACAGCAAAGTATCGCAACGAATTCCGTCGTCCACAATCAGATCACAATATGAACGGAGCGAAGAGAGAAATGGCGCTAAGCTAAGAGCAAACCGAAAGCAGAGAAGGCTTACAGACTGCGAATAGTTGGGTCACTGACGGAACCTCTTAAGCCCGCTGCAGCAGGGTGTCGCGAAACTTATCTGAGACTAGAAAAAAGTAAAATCGACAGGATGATTCTGTTTTTGAAACTTACAGTGCGATTAAGTAAGGAATGTGATCAAAATTAATACTTCGAAAACGCAGGCAATCTACAGGGTGTCCGCAAAATTACACGACGTGTAGATCTTGAAAACATAAGCAATTTTTCTTAGTACCATATACACCAATGTCTTAAGGGAACCGAGAT